ACGGCCCCGCCCACGGTGCTGGTGTCTCTGGTGGACAGCGGCCAGGCGCCTAAGGCCTCTTCGCGGGCGATGGTGGGCGCTGCTGGCCCCGAGTCGACCCTGGTGGACGTGAACGTGTACCTGATCATCGCCATCTGCGCGGTGTCCAGCCTGCTGGTGCTCACGCTGCTGCTGTACACGGCGCTGCGGTGCTCGGCGCCGCCCCCAGAGGGCGCTTGCGGGCCTGGGAAGCCGACGCTGGTGTGCTCCAGCGCGGTGGGGAGCTGGTCATACTCTCAGCAGAGGAGGAGTCAGAGGGTGTGCTCTGGGGAGGGCCCTCCCAAGACCGACCTCATGGCCTTCAGTCCCAGCCTTCCGCCATGTCCAGTTAGTGGGGATTCCAGGGAACAACTGGCTGTGGACGTTGATCTTTCTGATAAAGTGAGTAATTTTTCTTTATTCTTTCTAAAATATTCTTATTTTTATTCCTTGTAGTTGAATGTTAATAGTTGATGATGTTACATTTTCTTTTTAGTAAATGGATTTTCCAGTTACTGGTTTTGGGCTTAAAATGTTAGAATTTCTTGTGAGTGGGCCCAGCAGGTGGTGTGGTGGTTAGGGTGGTGGACTCCCACAGGGCGGATTACAGTTTGAGTCCTGGACTTGGTGGCTTGCTTTCTCACTTTCCCTTTCTCTCTCTCTCTCTCTGGTTAAATTAAGAATAACAATAATAATAGCATATAAAAGTACATCGTTCTTTTAAAAAATTAGAATTTCTTGTGACTAATTTTTGAAAAGAATCAGCAAAGTGTTGTGAGATCTATACTTGTAGTTTTGTTTGTTTTTAGATGCAGTAATAGTATTTTATTGCTAAAAGTGTAAGTACAAAATGTAATATGTTTTCTTGGGAACCAGCAGTTAGCGTAATGGCTACGTCTCTGGATTCCCACGTAGTTGACCGCGGTTCATGTCCTGGACCCGGTGGCTTAAAACTCACGCCAGGTGTGTGTGCGTGTGTGCCCAAGATCCTGAGAGGAGAATGGAGGAGAAGGGATTGTGGCATGGCCATCCCTCCTGGGGCGTGATTTCTCGCTTTCTGTCTCTCTATCTCTCTCTGTCTGATTGGCGCACACGCCCTATAGCAAAAACCTCTCCAAAAAAATGTAATATGTTTTCTTGGATGATCTGCATAATTTAGAGAATTTGGATCCAGCTTGTGGTGGACTAATCCCTGCCCAATGCTTCCAGATCTTTTGCCACTTTTCCTTTGGATTTTCTACTAGAAGTTAGTACAAATGGCACTGGCCCATCTTATGAATTTGCCAGAAATGTCCCACAACTCCCTCTTTTTATTCACATCTTCAGTTTCAAATATTAGTTTATTATACTTGTCATCTTTTTAAAATCTCTTTTGTCCTCTTATTTGAATTTCCAATCTCTCCTCTCTACTTGAGTGTGATTTACTTTAGGCCTGTACTTTCCTTTGGCGCTATATTTGTTGTTTCTAGATTTCTCAATTTGGGCAGAGAACTAGAATAATGATTGTTATTGTTTTCTTAAAATCATATTTTTGGCTCATCTTTAGTTTCTCACTACTTTTAAAAAAATTTTAAAAAACACCCTTGGGGCCAGCATGGTGGTATGGCAGTTGGGGCACTGGACTCCCACATGGCCGACCGTGGTTCAAGTCTGGAAGCTGGTGGCTTGTTTTCTCACTTTCCCTCTCTGTATTTCTCTCTGGTGAACACACATGTCCTACAGAAAAATTTAAAATAATAATAAATAAAATAAAATAATTATTTTATTAAAAAATTACCTATTTATTTCTTGTGATTTTTTTGGAGAGATTTTCGCTATAGGGCGCGTGCGCTCGCCAGACAGACAGAGAGAGACATTAGAGACAGAAAGCGAGAAATCACCCCCTGGGGGGATGGTCACGCCGCAATCCCTTCTCCTCCATTCTCCTCTCAGGATCTTGGGCACGCACGCACACGCGCCCGGCGTGAGTTTTAAGCCACTGGGTCCGGGATGCAAACCGCGGTCGTCTACGTTGGAGTCCAGCAACATAGCCATTACGCTAACTGCTGGTTCCCTCTTGTGATTTTTTTCAAGTCAATAGATCTGGGACTTGAACTAAGGTCAGCCATGTAGGAATCCAATGCTTTAATCACCACACCACCTGCCATCCCATTTTCTCACTACTTTTGTTAGTAATAGTTGAAGTGATATAAAGTAAGAGCCTAATATTTTGTAGTATATTTAAATATTATTTTAAAGGATATTTTAATTTTGTTAAGAATTATATAAGGGGACCAGCAGGTGGCATGGTGGATAGGGCACTGGACTCCCACATGGCTGACCATGGTTCGAGTCCTGGACCTGGTGGCTTGCTTTCTCACTTCCCCTCTTTCTCTCTCTGTGTCTCTCTCTGTCAAATTAAAAATAAATGATGAATAAATAAAAATGTAAAAAAGTTTTAAAAAAGGAATTATTTAAAAATCTAAACAATTTTTGAAAATAATACTGTATATCTAGTTTTTTTTTTTAGAGAGAGTTTTTGCTGTAGGGTATGTGTGCTTGCCAGAGACAGAGAGAGAGACTCAGAGAGAGACAAAGAGAAAGAAAGTGAGAAATCACCTCCCAGGGACCATGGCCACACTGCAATCCCTTTTCCTCCATTGTCCTCTCCAGCTTTTGGGCACGTACACACATGCACCTGGAATCAGTTTCAAGCTGCTGGGTCTGGGACTTGAACGTTGGTCGGCCATGTGTGAGTCCAGTGACTTAACTACTACACCATCTGCTGGCCTCCTGTGTATTTAATTTTAAGACTACCTCTACTAACACAACTTCACATTCATTAGCCTCTTTTGCATATAACCTACTGAGGGTAATGCCAGCAAGTTTGACAAGTCAATGTCATTACTGGTAAACTTCTCTAAAGACCACATTGTCTATCAATGTGCGTGTGCCATACAGTATATAGAAAACTTCAAGTAGGTAGCACTAAATAAAATTGAACTGGGACTATTTCCCAGTCCTCACCTCAGTGTATTTAGTTCTTTCTCCTAGCAGATAGCTGGACTCTTAGTTAAATTCCCTTACCACTGGAGAGAATTAATCACCAAGTGAAACCTGACAATGGCTATGTCGCTGGACTCCCAAGTAGTCGATCGTGGTTCGAGCTCTGGACCCGGTGGCTTAAATTCATGCCAGGTGCGTGTGCATGCATGCCCAAGATCCCGAGAGGAGAATGGAGGAGAAGGGATTGCAGCATGGCCATCCCCTCTGGGGGGTGATTTCTCGCTTTCTATCTCTCTGTCTCTTTCTGTCTGTCTGGCGAGCGTACACGCCCTATAGCAAAAACAAAAACAAAGACAAAAACTCTACAAAAACAAAACAAAACATTCTGGGAGAGTGTGTGTGCATGCTCAAAATCCTGAGAAGAGAATGGAAGAGAAGGGATTGTGGAATGGCCATCCCCACTGAGGGGTGAGTGCTCATTTTTCTTCTCTCTCTGTCTGTCTCTGGCAAGTACACACATACCCAATGGCAAAAATCTTAAAAATAACTAAACAATAGATACTTTTCTTCACTCCTCCCTTTTTCCACTTCCATGTTCTTTATTGGCACCATCCTTTGCTTCTTCCTTGTTCATACAGTACTGGCCACAGCAATGTCTAATCTCAGTTTAATATTTATTTATTTATTATCATTCTGGTGTAAATAGTGGAGTCACCCAATGTTCTTGTCCACCTGGATATGGAATGTTGTTCTTCAAATCCAGCTCTTTTCTTGAAATTCTCAACTAACAAGGCTCATGGCTAAGACATTTTGTAGACATTTTTTTGGTCCTTAGGTATGTTTTGATACGATACCAAGTGAACACTGAATAGGTCCCAAATACATTTCCTTTTTGTTCTGTTGCATCCTTCACCTATGCATTTAAATATTGTGGAGAATAAAATGAAGGGAAAGGGAATTATTTTCATTTTGTTCCGGTGTGCTTGACACATATAATTATTTTGTAAAAATATGTAGTCTGGGTCTCCAAACAGTGAAAATACTCAGATTTCTGGGTTGATTCTGATTTTTTTTGCACTTGTGACTTTACATAGAGAGGGAGCCTAAAGCTAACTTCACTAGATTGATTTTTCTTTTTTTAAATCTAGACAAACACGGGAGAAAAAAGTTCATAGACATAAGAGGCAAAACATTTTGAAAATGGCTACCATTATGTTCTTCTATTTAGGTATCTTTGTGTAATAAAATGTATTGTGTACTATTTATTCAGAAGTTTTCATTGCCTATTAAACCCCAGGATGATTCAAAGTTCATGACTACCAAGAACTAGAAAGAAAATTAAGCTGAAACCCAGGTATCCAATATGGAAATTAAAATGTGTCCTAATTGGGGCAATATCTAAGGAAATTTTAAAAAATATAATTATTTATTTATTTAATTTTATTTATTATTACTATTTTTAAAAATTGCTATAGAGCATGTGCACTGAGAGATAGAGAGAGAGATAGAGAGAGAGAGAGAGTTGCTAGGTCCAAGACTTGAACTGTGGTTGAGCAGTGAGAATCCAGCACCTTAACCACCATGCCACCTGCTGGCCTCAAGGAAAATCTTTTTGTGTCTCCAAAAATATTATAGAAACTGGGCCCAGCAGGTGGTGTGGTGGTTAGAGTGCTAGACACTCCCACATGACTGACCACAGTTCAAGTCCCGGACATGGTGGCTTGCTTTCTCATGTTCTCACGTTCTCTCTCTCTCTCTCTGTTTTTCTCTAGTCAAATTTAAATAAATGAATGCATAAATAAAATTACAATAAATAATTCTTTTTAAAAATTATAGAAACTGCTGACTCATAATATTTATTTGACTTGCTAAGTGACTACCTTAAATTAATGTACTTTATTAGACAGTTGAAGAAAATGAAACCATTTCTACAGGGCAAGTATTCAGCAAATATTGGGGCCGACAGGTGGCATGGTGGTTAGGGGCACTAGACTCTCACATGGCCAACCATGGTCAAGTCCTGGACCTGGCAGCTTGGTTTCTCACTTTGCCCCTCTCTCTCCTGTTCACTCTGTTTCTCTCTGGTCAAATGAAATAAATAAATAAAGCTAAATAAAATAATTCTTCTTTTTTGGGGGGAGAGGTTTTTGCTACAGGGTGCATCCACTCACCAGAAAGCCAGAGAGTGACAGAGAGACAGAAAGTGAGAAATCAACCCCTGGGGGGATGGCCACATTGCAATTCCTTCTCCTCCATTCTCCTCTTGGGATCTTGGGCATGCACTCACATCTGCCCAGCCTGAGTTTAAGCCCCTGGGTCTGGGACTCGAACCGTGGTCAACTACATAGGAGTTCAGCAATGTAGCCATTACGCCAACTGCTGATCCCAATAAAATAATCCTTTAAAAAAAGTATTCAGCAAATATGTAGTAGGCAAGTACCTTTGAACTATTGGTGTATTAAGATACAGTTATTTTCTTTATGTTTATATTTCAAAAAAGGATATATACCAAATGCTTACAAGACAGAAGTGTAGCAAATGACTGAAGTGATTGGATCAGGATGCTACAGTTTATAAAAGAAGATAAAGTGATGTATAGTGAGTGAATGTTTAAAATGTAAAGAAAAGACGTCTGTTTGATTTGATCAAGAATTCCTTCATTGGTGAGGAAAGTTGTAAGTCATATAAAATAGGGGAAGTTGGTTGTGGAGAGTTTGGAAATGCTGAGTACCACTTAAGAAGGAGACAAAATGAGTATGTTCACTTAAAAAAAAATTGGGGGGAGCAGGAAATTATCCAGTTCAACCAGAAGATATAAACACTGCAGGAGAAATTGGAAACTTAGGCATTTTAGACATGCATCAAAATATAAACCCTGAGAGTCAACCAACCTTGCTCATGGGAGGTAAGTGAGTTCCACTGAGTAAAATTTGGAATACTTTAACCACAATATCCTACTTTGTTAAAGACTTATTGCACTTTCATCCCTTACATGACTCAATGAAGACATTCAGTTAAATGGTGATGATTTTGATTCCTTTGTAATACATTTGCAAATTTATCTCTCAACGACTTATTCTCGAGAGCAGAGATTCCCTAGAAACCAGCCCCCTAAAGTCTTCAACACCAATAATACAAATCCAAGGATAAAGAGGATGATATCAGCAATAACAACCTCTGGCAATCCCAGGAACACAAGGACTCATGTCTTGAATTTTCCTAAACAACACTTTAAAATGATATGTTTAAAAGGTTTATATTATCTGCAGTTACACTTCTGTAAATACTTAAAATCTGTATTAAAAAAAGGTTTTTAATGAAATGAAATTTGCCCCTGTGGAAAAACTAAGGATCACATTGAATTAGTGGTACAAAATGTAATCCTGTTCTCCAAAATGGGAACAGTATACAGACAGGCTGAAAAACAAACAAGCAAACAAAAAACAAGACCTGTCAGTTTATAGCAGTGTGGATTTCCAGATCCCATACTTACCGTTTGGAGCCACATGATGTCGCTCTTTACCATAAAATAGATGTGACAGAAGAAAGAAAGGGAAGGAAATCCTTTCTATTCTTACTAGACAGAAGCTGTATCCACTCTCTGGATTCTGAAAAATGGAGGATGCAGCAGCATTGAACTGACCCATCACAAAATTACTCTGGACTTTGAGAAAGATTCCTAACCAGGACAAAGGATTGTGCATTAGAGATGGAAATTACCTCGTTAAGCAGGCAAGAATCCGGACGTCTGGTGCTCTCGCTTCTGTTTCTCGCAGCCTGGGAGGCTGGGAGCGGCCAGCTCCACTACTCTATTGCGGAGGAGGCTAAACACGGCACCTTCGTGGGCCGCATCGCGCAGGACCTGGGGCTGGAGCTGGAGGACCTGGTGCCCCGCCTGTTCCGGGTGGCGTCCAAGGGCCGCGCGGACCTTCTGGAGGTAAATCTGCAGAATGGCATTTTGTTTGTGAATTCTCGGATCGACCGGGAGGAGCTGTGCGGGCGGAGCGCGGAGTGTAGCATCCACCTGGAGGTGATCGTGGAGCGGCCGCTGCAGGTTTTCCACGTGGAGGTGGAGGTCAAGGACATTAACGACAACCCGCCAATGTTCAAGGCTTCCCCAAAGAATCTGTTCATAGCGGAATCCAGGCCTCTTGACACTCGTTTTCCACTAGAGGGCGCATCCGATGCAGATATCGGAGCCAATGCTGTGCTGACTTACAGACTGAGCCCCAGTGAGTATTTTTCTCTAGAAAAACCATCAGACCACGAGCGGGTAAAAGGCCTTGGACTTGTGTTACGGAAACTTCTGGACAGGGAAGAAGCTCCGGAGCTCACTTTATTGCTCACGGCCACCGATGGAGGCAAACCTGAGCTGACTGGGACCGTCGAGCTATTCATCACGGTACTGGATGCCAATGACAACGCCCCAGTGTTCGACAGGGCACTCTATACGGTGACAATACCAGAAAATATTCCTAATGGAACAATAATAATGAAACTTAACGCTTCAGATTTAGATGAAGGATCGAATGCAGACATTATGTATTTATTATCAGCTGATACTTCACCGACTGTGAAATCCAAGTTCCACATAGATCCAATTACTGGACAAATAATGGTAAAGGGATTTATCGACTTTGAAGAAAGCAAATCCTATGAACTCCTCATAGAGGGAATTGACAAGGGACAGCTACCACTCTCTGGACATTGTAGAGTTATTGTGGAAGTAGAAGACACTAACGATAATGTCCCAGATTTGGAATTCAAGTCTCTCTCACTTCCAATCAGAGAGGATGCTCCTTTGGGCAGCGTCATAGCTCTAATCAGTGTGTCTGACCGTGACTCCGGCATCAACGGGCAGGTGACCTGCTCTCTGACTCCAAACGTCCCCTTCAAGCTGGTGTCCACCTTCAAGAATTACTACTCGCTGGTGCTGGACAGCGCCCTGGACAGAGAGAGCATTTCTGACTACACCGTGGTGGTGACAGCGCGGGACGGGGGTTCGCCTTCGCTCTGGGCCACCGCCAGCGTGTCGGTGGAGGTGGCCGACGGGAACGACAACCCG